TAACGACCCAATTTTCATGTCCAAAAATTTCATTTTAAAATATTACTTTTAGAAAAATTAATAAATAAAACATTGTTTGATCACACCATAACACATCGCAAACCATGTTTTAAAATCATCCATACATCCCATCAAATATCAGAGTACAATCCCAGTGAATCTCGTAAATGCGGAAACCGAAGAGTGTGTGTGTGACATGCTGCTACCGCGCCGGCTCCTTTCCCCTGCTGAGGAGGTACCTGAAACCAAAACTGAAACCGTAAGCACAAAGCTTAGTGAGCTCCCCCATAATACCCCATACATACAAGCATTTAACATATAACATGCAATTAGGAGATACGGGCCTCGCCCACACTCGTGAAGATACGGGCCCCGCCCACACCTCACTTTCTGAGAGATACGGGCCCCGCCCACACTCGTGAAGATACGGGCCCCGCCCACACTTCGCTACCTGGGAGATACGGGCCTAGCCCACACTCCATTCTCGGAGAGATACGGGCCCCCCCACACTCAACCGCCAACTCATATCATACAAGTATCGCACAGACAACAAGTGTAAACAGTTCTATCATGCTGGTATATAACACAATCAACTCAACTAATAGATACGGGCTCGGCCCACACTATAATACTAACGTCTCATCTATACGGGCCGGCCTTGGTGCCTTAGACCCGTTACTACTGGAAGGAAACTCACCTCGAAATAGCTGCTGGTCTGTGTGGGAATTGATCACCTACTACTGCTGCTGCTGCTCCGGAAACTCCCCGGCTGTAATTCCCACAATATACTTAATCATACACTGCTAACTGTCCTTTGGGTAAAAAGACCATTTTACCCCTGGTCTAGCCCTAAGTCAAATCGAAGTCAACTTTTAGTTGACCCAACTCGCCGAGTGGATCTCCACTCGCCGAGTCCCTAGCAAACTATTGTCCTGGGTCCCTGATTCTACTCGTCGAGTTGGGCTATGACTCGACGAGTTCATCTTCTAAACTGTCATTCAACTCCTTCATCCTACTCGCCGAGTTGTATGAACAACTCGTCGAGTTCATCTTCATCCGAAGAACACATATGCTAAGACTCGCCGAGTTGT